TTCCCTACAGATGCAAAGTCCAGGTCTATCTCCAAACTGGCCCCAAGCTCTGAGGGTCTGGATCTGGGGGCCTCCAGTGCTCCTACAAACACAAGCGCCTGGCCCTGCAGGGCATCTGAGCTGCTCTGTCCTCGCTTTCCTCAGGTCTGGTACCACTTGCCTGCCATTCGGGGTTTGTACAGGCCGGGGGGAGCACAACCGCTGCTGTTTTCATCTCGCTAAGGACACGAATGGCAGAGAACCTGGCATGGAGCGACCTCTGCCTCTTCGGGTGCAGGGGAGACATGCAGCTGCTGGGCTTAGCAACGTGGGACCACATGTGGCTGCAGAGGGAAGCCCCACCGCAGAAGCCCCTTTGCACACTCACAGCTGGCACTGATCATATCCCGGTGCTGCACCAGTCATCCCCAGCACCAGGCTTAAGGGATGGTAAGGAGCTGGAGGCAGGGCAGGGACTCACGCATGCAAAGCTGTGTCTAATGGGGTGAAGGGGTGGGGAGAGATGCTCTTTCCCACAGAGGTGAGGGGCTCCTGGATGCACCAGGATGCTCGCAGAGTGCCTCTGTGCTGCAAGAATCTCAGAGATTTACACCAAAGGAGTATCAGACATGGGACCCTCATGGTGAACCCTGCTCAGGGCAGCAGGTATCTCCCCAGGGAGACAGGGCAGATCAGACATATGGGCAGCACCCGGCACTGATGGCGACACCAATGCCAGGAGCCTCCCGCTCCCACAGGCACCCAACAAGAACCACTGTGGCAAGACTCCGGCTCCGAGGGGGCCGTGACAAGGACCCTGTGTGTGAAGGCTGATGCAGCTGGCACCGCCGCCATGGGACTGTGATACACACCCTCCCTTGTGGGGAGCCTGTTTGCTGCCTCTCCCCTTTGTGTGCAGTCCAAAGAGGCCCCTATGGCAGGCTGGTGCTCCCAGGCCAGCTGAGAGGCCTATCTTTAGCTCTTCACTTGTTGAAAAGCTCAAGCACGGAAGGCTTGTTTGTTCTCAGTCGATGCATGCAGTCCTTCACTTTGTTGGGAGGGAGGGGGAACGGAGGGGGCTGTAGCTTTCCCGAGTGCCCTCCTTGCCAGCCAGCTCCATCCATGTCTGGTTAAGGCAAAAAATCCAAGCCAAAGGCATGCGACTTCGAGCCAGGGGGTTGCACCCTCCCTGTGCACTTCCTCAGAGGAAAGGCCGTGACTATTTTTACATTAGGAGCACTCTGTCCTGCAGAGATGGGTGGGAGAGAAAGCTCTGGGGGCGGGGAGGAAGGTCCTTGGGGGAGCGAGGGGCATACCTGGGCACACTGACTGCCCTCCCCGAGGGGGCAGAGCTGGGAAACACCTTGGCTATCTTGCCATCCATCCCCTTGGCTGGTGGGGAACTGTAGGAGGCATCTCAGAGAGCTTAGCAGGCAGATGGCAGCAGTAAGGCCTGCACACCCGAATCCCCACAGCATGCAGGCAGCAGGGAAGAGGCAGGGCAAACTTCCCCTAGCCAGCCCCAGCCTTCCCCGAAGGAGCCCCATGGGACAAGCTTGCTCTCCACAGCCCCCTCAATCCTCAGCCCGGACGTTGCACCAGGCACCAGGGCAGAAATCCCCACCGGCCACGCAAGGGGGAACCTGAGCACTCGGGGCTGCCGAACAAACAAGACCAACCACACTCCCGAGACCGAACCGCCGCCAGGCGGGAACCATCTTTCCCACACAGTCCCCAGCAAGAATAACGGGGCCAATGCAGGGCTGTCACCCTTCAAAGAGACCCTGATCCTGCCAGACTCCGCACGGCCATGATCTGCAATCCTCAGGCTAGACAGAGAGAGAAAAGCAAAGAGAAGAGGCCACAGTGCTCCTTACCAAGCTCTCAGAAACTGGAGCGTCAAAGCCTCCTGCCCTAGGCAAGCATGAGAGGGTCAATGCCAGAATCCCCAAGGCTCAGGAAGCATCTGACTCTGGGGTGGGGAAGACTCCCGAGCCTACGGCAAACCCAAGGAGCTCCCACCGAATGGATAAAAGCCGGCTGGCTGGTGACACTCCAGCTATTTTCAGCCCCTGGCAGGTCCTGGGAAGCGTGCATCATCGGAAAGAAATCCCAGGCAGCTCCCGGCATGGCTCAGTCAGAGGAGGCCGGGTCCCTTCACAGACTGAATCCGGAGGGAGGGCATCTTTTTGGGTCCCCTGCTTTCTTTATCAGGCCCAACCCCTACGCTTCACACAGGAATAATGTAATGGCTTGTTCCGTCCAGGAGGCCGGACTAGATGATCTACTGTTATCTTTTGGCTTTACCCCCTAGGAATCCATGAATAATCCTTAGCACCTTCTCCACAGCACATACCATCCTTGCAAAGACTAACTCAGTCTAGCCCAGAGTGGCCCGTGCAGGGCAACATGGATACAGCAAGGCATAGGGTCCTGGTCACAGGCTGGTGTGCCAGTAACATGGTCTGCTTGTACTGGGAGTGACACCAGGTCGCAGGAGGAGCTGGGGTGGCATGTCTGGGTTAGTGGGGTAGCCACAGCATACCACGTCTGTGTGACCAGCCAACATGCTGGCCATGTAACACCGGCACTGGGCTGGTGTCTTCCATGTTCATTAATGGCTAGTTAGTTGTGCTAGGGGTACTCCTATGCTGGCAGCGTACCACAGCTCACACAGGCTCATGCAGAGCTCAAACCATGCATCAGTGGTGCAGCCTGCTCTACCGATCACTGTGCCAGTGATGCTCTGCCCTGGGAACTGTTGCACAGCTCGTGCCCCATAACTGAGAAGGCGGGAGGGGGAGCTAGTCGACTGCGCTGTCTCTAAACATCCTTGGCATCCTGCTGCACAAGCCAAGTGGCAAACTGTGAAATTCTGCCCTTGCAACTTTGCTGTGGAAACAGGCAGGGGCGAGGAGATCCATCGGGCAGATGGACGGAAGGCGACCGCCCACGGCAGTCAGAGCAGCGCCTGAGTCCAGGCTACCTTCATCACGCCTCGAAAAGGAGAAGGCCCTCTAAAAGGCACAGCGAGCCTTGGACTTCCCCCGAAGGAGGTAACTTGGCAAAGAAAGGCAGGAGTCAGTTGACAAGGCCAATGAGCAACTGAGTCAAAGAGACTGTTTTTAGCCCCGGCATCTCAGCGACGTGGGCCGCCGTGTTGTTAACAGGCACTTGGGTCGGAGGCCAAATGTTTTCCCTTCCATGCACTAAATGCCGCAGTTGGAAGCAGCCCAGATATTTTGCACAGTAAAAACATTACCGCTCTGGGCAGGAGGCAAATCCTGTGTGAGCGCAGGACCCAGGCTGGAGCAGCCCCTGCCTATAAAGGCCGTGACAAGCTGCCATGACATACTGCACGGAGATGGGCAGTCCCAGGACCCACGAGGGGCAATTCATCGGCCCCACTGATCCACTTGTGAGCTTGCAGGTAACACCCACGCTGCTTCCACTGCGCGGCACTGTTGGTTGTGCCTGGGGCAGACGCAAGTCAATAAAGCACTTCTGGGGCGAGGCGCCGGGCCAGGTAATCCTCTTGCTGGCTGACATCCTCTTGGCTGCTGCCTGTGGCAGCAATGGCAGAGTTAAAAAAGCAGCTCCTCTTGCTGGTGACACTCCTTCCCCCTCTCCAAACCCATCAGCCAGGTGGGAAAAGCAAACCAGGGCCAAGAGAGATAAATGATCAACTGCACTTCAAAGTCACTGGCTGCCGCTTAGAGGCCAGGCACCTCATGGAGGTCGTGCCCTCCAAAGTGTGCATCTGGGGCAGGATCTGACCTGCTTGATGTCCTTCCCTAGGCAATGGGAGCCTTTGCATTTATTTCAAATGCCCCCCAGCTGGGGCATTGGATCGCATGCTGAAGGAAACCAAAAAGGAGTTGCTGAAAGCAGGATGGTGGGAGGGAAAGGAGACTTAGGGCCTGCCATAGCGGACAGGCCCTTTCTTCTGCCTTGCCCTGAGGTCCTGCCCTGCAAGGGCAGAAAGGATAGGTGCTCACGTGTCTCTGTCCTATCAGAAACCAGGCGCCGGCCCGCCCTGCGAGATGCAATTAAAAATAAACGTGTGAACAGGCGGGAGGATGTCCCTCGATTCATGATAAATCAATTTGAGCTTGTTGACCCCAGAAGCGAGGCTACAAGAGCCCCAGGCCGCCTGGGCAACGAGTGATTAATCCCCCCACCCCTATCATTTCAGCCTTTCAGCTGGGGAGCAAGGGGAAAATTGGAATGACCTTGGAGAAGGCTGAGAAAGGATCTACACACAAGCACGTACATGGGAAATAACAGCACCGTAGCTGAACCTCAGCAAAGGTCACATTTTATAATGGCTCCTCCTGAAGCAGCAGTCCCAGTGCCGGTCAGGGTGATGGGGCAGGAGTCGTACTACATAAAGGCGCACAGTCCAGCAGCTCGTACCGGAGAGCAGTACTTGGGCAAAGCCCGATTCTGTTCTGGACCAGACAGGTGTCAAGCAACTCCACAAAACTTATGCCGAGTTGCACCTCTACTGCAAACGAGGCACGAGATCAGTCAGACCCCCCCTGCCACTGACCCGTAAGACCCCAGGCAAGTCACCTGGGGGTCAGAAAGACAGAGCTGCTGAGCATCCCGCCTTGAGCAGGGGACTAAACTAGATGGCCTCAGGAGGTCCCTTCCAGCCCTACGATCCTATGATTGGATGCACCCATTAGCTCCAGATGGGATTGTGGGTCCTCGGCCAAAGCAGGACCTTTCCCTCTATGTGCCCTGACATCCCCATGTGCATGACGACACTTAAACAGCTTACAGAGAGGCTTCTGGGGTTACATCACCGCTCAGAGAGCCTCAAATAAAGGGACAGAGAAATGCAAGGCATTTGGTAGCAAAAGGACCCTCATAACTTTCCCTGAAGATCGACATACATGAGAATCGCCCACCCCTCCCCGTGGCAACTCATTCCCCTTCCTACCCCCCCACTCTGGTTGCCTGAAAAGCAGCAGGAAGGAGGGAATGATGATAACCTTGGTGCACCCAGTCCTAGCAGGCAGCCGGGAGGGTTACCAGAGGTGGATGGCACATGGTAATCGCACGACGATCCCCCAGGAGCACTCAGCCTCTACTGTAGGCAGGAGCTGCAGCTGTCGCTCCTACCCGATAATAAACAAGTCCAAGGACAGGCTGTGACTTGACCTCCCAACAGACCGCTCGACTGCCCCGGCTTTGGCATGCCACTACCTTTGTCCCGGTGCTGGGCCACTTGGGCTGTTCTTCTAGTGACGTTAAATGCATGGAGGTCAGCGTGCCAGGTCAGAAACCTGGGCCTAAAGGGGCAGGAAGACGCGGGACACCCTTCCCCAGTCATCCCCAGGTTTCAGAGTCTATCGAAGGTCACGTTGGACTCTGATCTGAATGACTCTGCCACAAATCTGGGGTAATTTCACCGAGATCAGGAGCCCTAAGGGCAGGTCCTGCTAAGTTTGGCGCCTTGTAGATAGTGGGGTTGAGCGTTTCTGCAACGCTCAGCTGCTCGGGGCCCCGTGTTCGCTAGCAAATTGAGGCTGCGCCTCATCAGTACTGCAGCTTGGCCTTCCCATGCACGCAGGAGACAGAGGAAGGGACGGAGCCCATCGCAGGCACCCCATCGCAGGCACAAGCCAGAGGAGGAGAGGGGGACCAGTCCGAGTTGAGGAGGGGACATTAATGTGGGATTCGGACGCGATGAGGTTTACACCCTGTGCCCTGAACCAGCTCCAGGCAAGGGAGGTGGAGAGGCAAGAGAGATGTCAGCTGTCACCCAGGAGAAACCTCTCCGATGATGACACAGACCCAGAGCAGCCGTCCGCCCGCCCGTCCGCCTGCCCTCCCTCTCTCTCCCCCAGCCTGGATTTGTGCTGCGCAGGGCATTAGCATGAAGCATCTCCCTCAACTCTAGTATTACACAACCCTGATTTATGCGTCTGACAGCCCTTTACATCCTCGCCTTCCTGGGTGGGGTAGCCAGGGGAGAGGTTTCCTCTCACCAGCCCCCTCAATCGCCCCCATCCTGACACCCACCTACGTACAAGTCCTCGTCTCTTCTGGCCCAGGAGGAAGGCGCCTGCAAACCCTGGAAGAAGGGCTGTCGAGCTTGGGCTGTTCTCAGTCATGCAGGAAGCCACCCAGCCCCCTACTTCTCCAGAAAATCCCCTGTGCTCCCCATATCTAAAGATATCTTTCCAGCCAGCCAAGTGTATTTGTCTCTCTTCCTCCTCTCTGGTTTACACGATCATCTGATAACATCGCCGCATACGCACCGTCTCGCCGCAGCTCAGAGACTTCCATGAAAGTTCGCGCCAGGTGAGGAAGAAATCTTACAAATCCAGCAAGTAACCAGCTGCTCCCACTTCTGCCCAGATCCCCCCAGGGCGCATCAGGGATTCGCCCCGAGTCAACAGCCACCCCGGTGGATTCTCCTTGGCTTGGTTCTCACCAAGGATCCTGCAAGTGCTGCTAGTTCCCCCTGCTTGGGTTGGTAAAAAAGCCAGGCGGGTGGTTTTCACTTTCTGTTTCTACCCCAGTAGAAACTGGACTTCCCAGTTCTCAGACAGGAGCTGCACAATTGTGCTTGGGTTCGATACCTTGGGGATCGGTGGCAGATATTTGCATTGAAAGCAGAGCCACCTGGATGCAACACTGAAGGGGCATGAAGGATAAGAACAGCCAGGCACAAGCAGGCGGAGAGATAGATGGACGGCTGCCACACAACAAGTATGCACGTAGGGAACTTAAAATGCCTTGGATCCCTTCCTCCTATCCATAATATCAGTTTCATGTTCCTTTATATATGAAATAAATCCCGTGTTCAACGCTGATGCTATGTGGGACGCTGATACACTTGGGTGTTAGGCCTGGCTGTTATGAGAAAGCTGCACTTGTTTCATATCAGTGTGGGAATTTAAACAGATTGCAAGGTTTTGGAGAAGGGACCGTCTCTTTGGGTTTGTGCAGTGCTCAGCCAATGCTGGTCCATAGCTGGGGCTCTCAAAGCAAAAACTTCATAATAATAAATGCAGTTAAACCGGTACAAAACCCTGTGGGACACTCATTCCGATAAGAGAGGGACATTTTCCAGCTCAGGGTAAATCAGTTGATTATACATTTCAGCTAACCAGACATAAGCATGTCCACACAGGGGCTTGCACTAGTATAAATGCATTAGTTTAAAAACTGATTTAA